GAAGATTAAGGATACTCCAAGTGTTGTTAATTTTCTTAGAACGTCGTACTTATGAACCGGAGTGTATGTTTGGGATTGGCTTTGTCCCAAGTACTCGTAGTACGGGTCTCTCGTATTCTCGTACGATTCACGACTACACGGCGGCACACGGGACCCCGTTCCTCGTGACTGGCGTGTAGTAGTCCTACGACGAGAGGAGCGGTGGACCTCAGGGACGTAGGCCGCGGACGTTGATTTCAACGCGTGGTCGAGCGTGAACCGAAGCCAGCCCGCTCGAATTGCATTGAATTCCCTCGACAGAATCGTTCTCATTATTTCTATTACGCTCTACATACTCCAGTTTTCACTCTTCGTACATAAATGTAAATCGAATAAAACTCGGTGTAATAATATTTGATTTTCATACGTTCTTCAATTTCCGAGTTAAAGAATTTTAAATAACGTTCATATAAATTGACGGAATTAATAATTAACGGAGTTGTATGTTAATTCTGTGAATATTTGTAGCGTTGGGGGTAAGAAAATGGATGTAGGAGTTCTTGGAAGTGAGGTGACGATGGAGTTGTTTCCGAGGATATTTAATTGTTTGAGAACCGGTGTTGTTTGTTCTCTGCACGTGTATTACACGGCTGACAGATAAGGAATTGTGTCAGCGTGTTTTATGTGCATTGATAAGCCCGCCCCGACGATTAGAACTTTCTCCCATGATATAAAGTCCCATGGCTGACTATTATTTATTTCGAAAACGATTGTAAAAAAGATCCAGTCCTTTGTTTCAAGAATGACGTTCTAGGTCTCATCCCCTTGTTCGATCCGAGAACACCTGCTCCCCTGTCCAAACACTTTTTCTGACCCCAGGATCCTCGAACGCCGTACAGGTTGCTATAGCAGCTCGTGTATTCAAACATAGAATTCTATAAACCATTATTTTTATAATAATTATTTTATTCATTAAAACAATCCAATACTTCGTACTATTTAAAATGGAAAGTTTCTCAAGAGATCGTAATCTTAATTCCACGTCGAGTTCTTAAAATCTAAGGAAAACTGAAGTTCAAGAGTTTCCGAGAAAAGCGGTAATAGACATGAAAACTAGTTTCGTCGATCGGGTCTTAATGAGAGCACAGAATCCGAGAAAAGAGGTCGTGCATGAGCCCAAGGAGTACAGCCCTGGTTCGGCCAGGTTGGTGAACGTAGGACAGCTAACCAGGTGACGTCATTGGCTTCTCGGATCTATGGAGGGCCCATCGAGAAGGTAGGGGAACGAAGGTGGCCAGCGTGGCGAGAAAAGAGATAGAGCGACGAGTGGGGGGTTGTTCTCCAGCACACGGTGCCCGAGTCCGCTGCTCTCAGGTACATGCGAGTAACACGGCGCCGC